CGTCCAGTGCCTCATTGAACACAGAGCCCAGAAAAAGGCTCCAAGTCCCAACACTCCTCACCTGCATGATAGTCTTTCGGATCTTCCACAGCCGGTAAGTCTCCTCTTCATCATCCATCTTCACAACACGCTGCCGCTGCTTCCTACGCTGCAAGGACGCAAAATCGGCTGCCTTCGCCTTTGCCTGTTCACAAAAGAGGACACCTCTAGCCTGAGTTGTCCTCTGTACTGCCTGATGCCTAAGGTGTGGTTAAGCTGCTTGTTCAGTGTTCTGAGCTTTGACCGGACGGTGCAAATGCAGTGAACACACAACAGAAAGGAATTTCATGTAATGAACCAATAGCGTGGCGTTCTGCTTATGCATTCAATTTGGCATTGGGGTAAGTAGAACCTCAATGACGGTAAGAATTGTCGCCGATAATGGATGCGGTCCGCCATGTTGCTGGTAGGGATAGTCACCTACACGGATGTGTTAAAGATACTCTTGACTATAAACATGTGGGTGTTAATAATCGGCTTTATTGGGTTAGGACTTCATTTTAAAGCATAGCTAAACCCTCCAAATGAATATATGATATAGTGCAGTTTACCAGCCCTTAGATGTGGGGGCTGCATTTGTTTTCTTTTTTCAGGCTTTTCCTTTATTTTTACCTGGTGATTAGAGATGAGTTGGAACACCCTCCAAACTCTTCTCCAGGGATGAGCTCTGGAAAGTTCAGACACAAATCCAATCTTGCCTGAGCTATCCCTCTGTGAAGGTGTGAAGCCGAAGGCCAATCATAGGTAGAGGAAGCATTCTCTGCCCTGCAAGTGGCATGTATACATGCAGCTGTGCCATAGGGAATGCGTCCTATGCCTATGATTGGCTGTCAGCGTTCACAGCTTCATGGCGGGATCAATCAAGCAAGTTCGGGGTCAAGTCTAAACCTGCTTGAGCTTATCCCTATGTAGTTCCCCTCTAGATAGCAAGGAGCTAGAGTTTAATTTTTAGTCAGCAGGGGTGATTAGCCTGGGTGTAATAGCAGGGTTAAATTCAGGTCAGGGCTGAGAGGCTCCGCAGGTCAGTCTCCTGATACCTTCCCCTGGTCTAGAATTTTGGAGAATTTCTAGAAGCAGTGGGTGGGGGTGAGGAGGGGCTGGCCTGCACATTTAGGGGACCCTGGCCAATCCCCAATCAGGAGGCTTGGCATGGGGCCAGGGCAGCCCTTAAATGTGATAGAACAGCAGCAGGAGAGTGCTGGTGGAAGATGGAATGAGAAGGCTGAAGTGCAGTAGCCTAGGAGGGGGGCCCAATTGGGAAGGGGCTCACCTCCAGGCAGTGGCGCTGGAGAGGAAGACCTCATCGGCTCCCAGAGCAAGGACCACCTGTGCAGCAGGGAAGTAGCTAGCCCATCGGAAGGCCTGAAAGCAGCTACCAACCCACCAGCTCATAGGAACAGGACTGAGTGACTAATCCTACACCCCCTGGGCCAGTTAAGGGGAAAGAAGCACTCTGGTGGGAAACTGGATGAGCTCCTTGCCCAGGACTGTTCACCTTAAAGTTGCAGGCACTGGATCCCCTGCCCAGGGATTCCTTCAGACTGCTAGATAGAGGATTATCTGGGGTGATACACCAGAAGTGGTTGGAGAGCTCTCCAAGAAGACTTTTTTTCTGTGTAAAGACTTGTACATTTCCAGTTCCTGGAAGCTGACCTCAGTTGCAGTTCCCTTGGGCATCCCATACACCCCTTACCCCATCCAAGTTCTAAACCCCTTCATAAAATCCAAAATCAAGGTCATGGGCTGGTTACTGTCTCCAGGTATGCAGGTATGTGGGCAATGCGTGTTCCCTGGCTTTGCAGGACTATAAGGGAACCCAATTCTCTCCCGACTCCTAAGGGGGTAGGGCTACACCTACTTATCACACTATCATTTAGAGGGCAGGGAATGACCCTGTCTGCAGCTCCTCAGAATACAAAAAAAAGCAGGATTTTGGGTTAGAGATGAGTTTGGAGGATGCCCAACTAATTTCTACTGCTGATCCTGCCAGTAAGTGTCATGCCCTAGGGTGGCAACACTCACTCACTGTACCATCTACAGAGGGGTGGTAACTACAAACCCCTCCCCTTTCCTCAGCTCTATTACATAGTGAGTTTTGTAGTTCACAAATTATAGCCGGGAAGGCTGGTGAGATTTGCACAGAAAGTTACTTAAATCCTGGCAGAATCACAGGGCATTTTCTGTATTTGCAAAAAATGTTGTTAACCTAAGAAAAAATAAAATGAATGCAGCCACCACATCTAAGGACTGGTAAGCTGTATATCATGTTTGTTGATGAGTTTAAATGTCAATTAGGTACCGTAACCAGAAACCAGTCTATTCCTGGTTAGACTTTGGGAGAGTAAATTCTGATTGGTTACCATGGGGTATTATTCCTACTATTCCGCTCCAACCAATGACTCCAATGCTAGATGTCTTGTGACACAACAAACATGGTTATTACTTGACCTGCATAACACTGACTCCGATTGGTCAGTGTTTGAAAGAACATACAAATCCTCAGTTATCTCCTACAAAAACAGGGTCATACAGTTTAAAGGCTTGTTCACACCATGGTGCAGAGACATCATTTTTTTCTGCATGTGTTCTGCAAGGGCACAACAATATCAATTGTTCTCTATCTGCCCTGTTCACACCACAACACATCACATGCAGATTTTTTTCTGCATAGGAATCTGCAATGTGTATACAACTCATTGAAGCGTGCATGAAAACTGATGTAAGCGGATATCTCTACATGCTCGTTCATAACACGGTGCAGAGACATCAGTTTTTCTGCACGCGTTCTGCAAGGGCACAATGAAATCAACTGTTCTATGTGCCCTGTTCATACCACAACACTAGTATCATATGCAGATTTTTTCTGCAACGTATATATAACTCATTTGGGTGCACATGAAAACTGATATATCTGCAAGTGAAATCTTCAAGTCAGTTTCCATCAGTTTTCTGCACGTATGGTGTGAACGAGGCCTAAAGAAAACTAAACCCATCAATTTATACCAGTTTCAAGAAACAGTTACATGCCCAGCATGCTGGAAATGCTAACTGTCACATTTGCTTGTGTTCTCAACCAAACTGCCCAACCATCCAATGGCTGGTGTCCTAACTGATCACATGTGCAGCACCCTGGCAATTGCAGATCAAACAGAGGCCAAGATGGCAGTTTCCTTGGCTGATAAGGAGAGGAGGATTTAGTTCCGCTTTAGCCCTGGTTCACTCTGATGCATTCCAGAACGCATAGATTCACATATCAAATGAAAATACATTGTTTTCTAGGAAGGTCGTTGATGTGGATGCGGTTAAAGGACAGGGTCCTGTGCATGTTCAGTGCGGTGCATTTTTAAGCATGTCAAAATCACATGACAACCACAAATCGCACTGCAAATTTGCACTACACTCGTACTCCAAACTGCATGTAATATCACACTACATCAGTCTGAACCTAGGCTTCAGTTGTTCCATCACAACCATTTCACCCCTACAAGATTACACAAAATGGGCCTGCACCCAGACACTACTTGCTTTAGAGGCTGTGAAGACCCTGCTGATTTCTTTTATTGCCTCTGGGCAGGTTCTTTGGTTCAGGCTTTTATGTCTGAGGTCAGTGCCTTCATCTCCCCAACCCTGGGCCTGTATAACATATCACATGCTAAAAGATGTTTACATGCTAAACATGGAAACCTGTCCATTTCTAAAAATGAGAAACACCTATTGTGTATCCTTTATTTTTATGCTAAAAAGACCCTCCTACTAATCTGGTAGGTTGCCTTCACCAATTGATTAACACTAGCCTCCAGCTTTAGAAGCTTACTTACAAACTTCTGGAAAAGAAAACCCTCTGTTTATGCTATTTGGGATCACTGGCTTTCCAGTCCTCTTTGTCTTGGCTCTGTACCTCCAGACAATTGAACAATTGTATTTCTTTATTCTGTTTTATGACCTGCTGTTTGACACAATCCACAATGCCCAGTGTATCACCTGTAATACTTCTCTGATGTGAACTTGTAAGTAGTAAGAAACAACTTTTTTTTATTAGTCAGTTTTTTCTTCTGGCTTGTTGATTTTTTTTTTTTAAGTTCTGTATTGTTCTTTGTAAAATTCAATAAACATCTCTTAAAAAAAAATGAACTCTGGGAGAAGAAAAAGTCCTCCCGTCCTCCCTTGCAGTGGACCTACTCCTATACTGCCAGGGTTAAGTGCTTGTTTCTGTCTAGGGCACTTTTGTCAAACTGGCGGCCCCTCCAGCTGTTGTGAAACTACAAATCATTGCAGTTACAAGCATGACTCCGAAAGGCAGAGGCATGATGGGACTTGTAGTTTCGCAACAGCTGGAGAGCTGCCAGTTTGACACCCCTAGTCTAAGGGACTGGGTAAAGCACTTTTACTTATCTGATCCTCCAGATCCTTTGTGCTGCTAGACCACTCCCCAAAGCCTCACCCCTCCTACACTCCAGTAGTCTAAAACTGATGCAGGGAACATGGCCCTGCATTGGATATAAAGATACAAAGGGACAGTCCACTGCTGGAAAATGTGGGAACAGAGGATCAGGTATGGAAAAGTGCTTTTACTGTCCCCTAGACAGAAATAAGTATTTAATCCTCACAGAGGGGATGCAGCCCCACTACAAGGCAGGATTTTTAATTTTCCTGGAGTATGCCTTTAAAAAGAAATCCAGGTTTCGGCACCCTTCTCTCATACATTGAAGGGTCTAACCTGTTACCATTTTGTACAAAAAATATGCTTAATACGTATCTGCTTGTTTGTATAAGAATTGTGTGATAATCTGCCTATTTTACATTGCACCTATGGTAAGCGAAAGTCTCAACTTTCCACTACTATGTAAATGTAGAAAGGACAAATGTTTGGGATCTTATTTTGTTCTGTTTTGCAAATGTAGTTCACACTGTACAAAGCAGCATGCCTGATTAACAATTATGTGACTTTTTTTTATTTCCTAGGCTATATACTACAAACAAGTATGCCAATGACATGCGTGGCATATGGCTGCAATAATCACTTTGTCAGAGGATGTGGGAAGCAATTTTTCAGGTAAACAGTTTCATTTATATCAGTTTGTTATAGCTGATCAAAATCAGAACAAATACTGTAGCTGGTAGTCATTGTTAATAATGACTCCATAATAATAGGATATATCATTTTGCAATGATTGGTTTACAAATGCGTCCTGATTTCAACTATTCATCAGATATGGCCAGTAAAAGCCAACCATAGATGATGCAGCTAAGCACGTGTTACAGGAAAGAAAATCGCTTGATTCTCCCATCACCACAATCAGTGTTGATTGGGGAATCCCTCCCACGGAGTTATTGTGTTCTCTTGCCGGGGAGGGGGGAGTCGTCCCTGCTGGGAGAACACACTAAGTATTGCTAGCGGCTATAGCCGCTGTCAGTAATCGCATAAAAAATCAAACAGGCTGGTTGTACCTGTCAGCACCTGTGGTAGTGAGCTCTTAATCCACAGCTTGGGGTTCCCCAGGGCGCGGAGTCGAAGCCCCAGCCTGCTTGTTCACCAGAGCCCCACAGTGACGCTCCCACAGTGGTGAGGCCCAAGGCAGTGCTTCACCTGAAAGGAGGGAGATCATGTATGCCACCTTGGAACGATCGGTAGGGAAATAATCGGCTGCTAGCTCAAAATGAATCGAGCACTGATTGATGAAGCCTCGACAGGCCTTGGGATCACCAGAAAAGTGAGGTGGTGGAGGCAGCTGGAGTCTCGAAGGATGGGGTTCCACAGGGGGAACAGCGGAAGGTGGACCAGCAGGAGCCGGAGCAGGGCCTGAAACCGAAGCAGGGGATGAGGAAGTGGACCCCGCCTGTAGCTGATCCAACCGGGAGGAGAGTTCCTGCAGATAATGCATAATCTGTTCTTGATAGGCCTGCTGGACATCGACTCTTTGCACCAAACCCTGAAGTTTTTCTAGGAGAGGCTGCAGTGTCTCTGAGGAGCTCATGGCCTGAGCAAACTGTCAGCACCTGTGGAGTGAGCTCTTAATCCACAGCTTGGGGTTCCCCAGGGCGCGGAGTCGAAGCCCCAGCCTGCTTGTTCACCAGAGCCCCTGATAGTGGGAATGGACTTGCAGCAGGCTGGGACCAGGTCGCGGCCCCCAGGTACACCCAGCTGAGGTAGAAGAGACCGCCAGCAGGAGAAGAGTACGATGGGAGTAGACTCAGGAGATCCAGTAGGCTAGCCGAGGTCAGGACAGGCGGAAGACAAGCAATGTCAGGAACGAAGCCGAGGTCGGTACACGGATAGACAATATAGGAGGAATGTCAGGGACAAGCCGGGGTCAGTACACAGATATACTAGAACAGATTCTCAGAGGACCACAGGGGAGCTCAGACAACAAACGTTGCTCAGGCAAAGTGAGACAGACTGAGCATGTCTTAAATAGACAGGCCAGCTAGGAGGCGGGCCAGGAAGTGATGAAAGGAAAGCACATAAAACCCAGGGAATAGCAGACGACGCCCATAGGTGAGCACAGAGAAACACACATGTGAAGAACAGCAAGGAGGTAAGACAAACAAACAAACAAGAGGCTGCAAGCTAACTTGTGACAGTACCCCCCCCCTCTTACGAGGTCTCCCCACTTTTTTAGGGCCAGGCTTAAGGGGAAACTTCCGATGAAAAAATTCCACCAGACGGGGAGCAGAAACATCAGCAGAAGGAATCCAACACCTCTCCTCAGGACCATATCCCTTCCAGTCAATAAGATACAAAAGCTTCCCTCTGATGAACTTAGAATCCAAGATTTGCTTGACTTCATACTGATCTGAAGTACTCGCTATTGGGGAAGGATGACGATGAGGACGGGAAAACCTGTTGATAATATAGGGTCTCAGAAGAGAAACATGGGAAAACATTAGGGATTCTCAGATGTGAAAGGAGGCGCAGTTTGAAAGCAACAGAATTGACCTGGAGGAGAATGGTAAATGGACCAATGAAACAAGGAGCAAATTTCATAGAGGGTACTCGTAGACAGATATTCTTGGTAGAGAGCTAAGCCTTGTCACCAGGGAGGAATTTGGGACTTACGTGGCAATGACGATCTGCAGCCATTTTGTACTTGGAAGCTGCCAGATGTAAATTCTTGGAAACCTCTGCCCAGATGGAATTGAAGGATTGTTGTTTTTTCTGCAGCCGTGGGAACCATAGAAGAGATAGGAACAGGAAATGGCACCGAAGGATGATGACCATACACCGTGAAAAAGGGGGACTCACCAGTACTGGCACTGGCATGGTTATTAAGGGCAAACTCAGCCCGTGGTAGAAGGTCTACCCAATCATCCCGATGGGCCGAAATGAAGGCACGAATATAGCATTCCACGTTTTGGTTGACTTTCGGTTTGGCCATTAGACTGCGGATGGAAGGCTGAAGAGAAATCCTACTCGACTCCGAAGGATGTGGCTAGAGCCCTCCAGAAGCGAGCTGTAAATTGAACCCCTCTATCTGAAACGATGTGAGAGGGCATACCGTGAAGACGGAAAATCTCCTTAATGAAGGTGGAGGCCAACGAAGTCCCGGAAGTGGAGTTAGGTGGCACATTTTAGAAAACCTGTCCACCACCACCCAGATAACAGTGGAACCAGCAGAAGGGGGTAGTTCAGAAATAAAGTCCATGGAAATGCAACACCAAGGCTCATCTGGAACCGGTAGAGGTAAAAGGAGACCTGCTGGAGCAGATGTGGAGGACTTAGATTGCACACAAATGGCGCAAGCCTGGACATATTCTTCAACATCCTTTCGCAGCGAGGGCCACCAGTAATGACACTGCAGGAAGGCACAGGTGCGTAGTACCCCAGGATGTCCAGAAAGTTTAGAGTCGTGTGCCCATTTAAGTAGCTTTGGACGAAGGGTGGGGACCACAAAGGTCTTTCCGGGTGGGATGCGTTTAGGCTGAAGATGAGTGGTGGCTAGGATCCGATTGGCAGAAATGATAGGTTCTGATTCAATATGACATTCAGAATCAGCACTGTCAAATGATCTAGACAAGGCATCCGCACGGGCATTTTTGGAACCGGGCCGAAAAGTAATGTCAAAATTAAATCTGGCAAAGAAAAGAGCCCATCGTGGTTGTCTGGGATTCAAACGCCGGGCGGACTAGAGATACTGGAGGTTCTTATAATCAGTGGAAACCAGAATGCGATGTGGGGATCCCTCCAGCAGATGTCGCCATTCCTGCAGTGCCAGCTTTATCGCCAGCAATTCCCGATCACCGATAGTGTAATTCTTTTCAGCATCCGAAAATTTCTTAGAGAAGAAGGCACAAGGACGGAGTTTACCATCATGCATATGGAGCAGGACGGCCCCCACTCCCAAAGAAGAAGCGTCTACCTCCAAGAAAAAAGGCTGAAAAATGTCTGGACGTATGAGAATCGATGCGGAGAGAAAGGTGGATTTTAGTCTGTGGAATGCGTCGACTGCCTCGGAAGGCCAGGTTCTGGCGTTGGAACTTTTTTGAGTCAAAGAAGTGATTGGGGCCACCAGCGAAGAATAGTTAGGAATGAACTGGCGATAGAAGTTAGTGAATCCCAAGAAGCGCTGAGTGGCTTTCAACCCAGAGGGCTGAGGCCAATTGGAAATGGCTTGGAGTTTGGCAGGATCCATAAGCAGCCCTTTATCCGTGACTATGTAGCCTAGAAAAGGAACCTGGGTTTGTTCGAAGCGACACTTCTCCAACTTAGCATACAGGCGGTGGTCCCGAAGACGGAGAACAGTACTCACATGCTGACGATGAGTCTCTAAATCTGGAGAAAAAAAAAATGAGTATATCATCCAGATAGACAATAACACAAACATACAGCAGATCAGAAAAAAAAATGTCATTAACGAAGTTCTGGAAGACGGCTGGAGCATTACACAAGCCAAAGGGCATCACAAGATATTCAAAATGCCCGTCTCTGGTATTGAAAGCTGTCTTCCACTCATCACCCTCATGGATCCTAACCAGATTGTATGCTCCACGGAGATCTAACTTCGTGAAAATTTGAGCATCTCGGAGTCGGTCAAAGAGTTCAGAAATCAGAGGTAAGGGGTACCGATTCTTAACAGTGATAGCATTGAGACCTCTATAATCAATGCAGGGTCGTAGCGAACCATCTTTTTTTCTCCACAAAGAAGAAGCCAGCCCCAGCAGGAGAATTGGGCTTGCGGATAAAACCTTTCTGCAGAGTCTCCTGGACGTATTTGGACATGGCTTGAGTCTCAGGAATGGAGAGAGGGTAAACTTTACCTCGTGGTGGAGAAGACCCAGGTTGGAGGTCGATAGCACAGTCATAGGGACGGTGAGGCGGCAGGTAGTCCGCAGCTTTCTTGCAAAAGACATCTTGGAAGACCTGATAGTGCGGAGGGAGTATTGGAGAGGTGATGACCTCTGCCACGGGTACACACCTAGGAGGACTCACTTTAGGAAGATAAGTCTGATGGCATTGTGAGCCCCATGACAATACTTGGCCAGAGTTCCAGTCAAGATAGGGTGAATGTCTCTGCAACCACGGAAGTCCCAGAATGATGGGACTTGAAGACTTAGGAAGGACCAGAAAGGTAATTTCCTCACGATGAAGAACGCCCACATGCATGGTTATGCTGATAGTTCGAAAGCGTAGAAGTCCTAAAGCCAAGGTAGAGCCATCAACTGCAGATACTGATAGAGGCATCATCAAGGGAACAAGAGGAATGCCCAATTCAGCGGCCAAGGATTGTTCGATGAAATTCCCGTCTGCCCCAGAGTCCACATAAGCCGAAACCTGGTATGAGTTCAGAGCCCGATGAATGGAGACAGGCATAACAATTCGAGGGAAGGAAGCGGAGTTCAGGTTCTGGTCTAGATCGACTCCCTCAAAGTGACCTAGACCCAGGAGTTTCCCGGTCGGACTGAACAAGACTTAATAGCATGACCCTTAGCCCCACAGTAAAGGCATAGACCAAGTCTTAGGCGATGCGATCGCTCCTGTGGAGTGAGGCGTGTAGGGCCTAGCTGCATTGGTTCCTCGGAAGTCGGCCCAGCTGCAGAGGTAGGTTGTACAAGGAATTTTTGGGAAACGGGAGCAAACAAACCCACTTGGGAGTGACGTGGACCAGACTTTTCCAGATCTCGTTCCTGGAAGCAGACATCAATTTGGATGCTAGAGAGCAATCAACTCATCCAGGACGGTGGGTATGTTTCTTCCAGCTAATTCATCCTTAACCAGGTCCGCTAAACCCTGCCAAAAGGTTGCAGAAAGGGCCTCATCATTCCAAGCAAGTTCTGCAGCCAAGGTGCGAAACCGGATTGCATACTGACCAACCGTCATGCTACCTTGGCGTAGCCGAAGAAGGGCTCCCGCAGCAGATGAAGTCCTGCCGGGCACATCGAACGTTTTCCTGAAAGCTTGCTGGAAGGCTGGGAGACTGGAGATAGTGTGGTCTTGACGCTCCCACAGTGGTGAGGCCCAAGGCAGTGCTTCACCTGAAAGGAGGGAGATCATGTATGCCACCTTGGAACGATCGGTAGGGAAATAATCGGCTGCTAGCTCAAAATGAATCGAGCACTGATTGATGAAGCCTCGACAGGCCTTGGGATCACCAGAAAAGTGAGGTGGTGGAGGCAGCTGGAGTCTCGAAGGATGGGGTTCCACAGGGGGAACAGCGGAAGGTGGACCAGCAGGAGCCGGAGCAGGGCCTGAAACCGAAGCAGGGGATGAGGAAGTGGACCCCGCCTGTAGCTGATCCAACCGGGAGGAGAGTTCCTGCAGATAATGCATAATCTGTTCTTGATAGGCCTGCTGGACATCGACTCTTTGCACCAAACCCTGAAGTTTTTCTAGGAGAGGCTGCAGTGTCTCTGAGGAGCTCATGGCCTGAGCAAACTGTCAGCACCTGTGGTAGTGAGCTCTTAATCCACAGCTTGGGGTTCCCCAGGGCGCGGAGTCGAAGCCCCAGCCTGCTTGTTCACCAGAGCCCCTGATAGTGGGAATGGACTTGCAGCAGGCTGGGACCAGGTCGCGGCCCCCAGGTACACCCAGCTGAGGTAGAAGAGACCGCCAGCAGGAGAAGAGTACGATGGGAGTAGACTCGGGAGATCCAGTAGGCTAGCCGAGGTCAGGACAGGCGGAAGACAGGCAATGTCAGGAACGAAGCCAAGGTCGGTACACGGATAGACAATATAGGAGGAATGTCAGGGACAAGCCGGGGTCAGTACACAGATATACTAGAACAGATTCTCAGAGGACCACAGGGGAGCTCAGACAACAAACGTTGCTCAGGCAAAGTGAGACAGACTGAGCATGTCTTAAATAGACAGGCCAGCTAGGAGGCGGGCCAGGAAGTGATGAAAGGAAAGCACATAAAACCCAGGGAATAGCAGACGATGCCCATAGGTGAGCACAGAGAAACACACATGTGAAGAACAGCAAGGAGGTAAGACAAACAAACAAAAAAGAGGCTGCAAGCTAACTTGACAGTACCCAAGTCGTACAACAATCCTATTGGGTACAATCAGCCTGCCCATAGATGGTTCGAATCCCAGCCAGACCCAGCTGAACCAGCCGAGATTTGAACCTAAGTAGGGCAGCATGTCAGATTACTATAGAAAACTGGGCCACTGCTTTGTGTGTGAAAGCCAGAGTCTGTCTCTCCTATTTGCTGCCAGCACAAGGTATTTTAAACTTTGCTTCAGCGCTTGGAAGTTAGAATGAAGTAAATGAGAAGCAAGTTTATTACTGTATTTGCAGCCTGACTGCATTCCATTTATTAATAAAGAAGGTTCAATTAGGACTCTTTCGCACAGGTGGCCGGGGGGGGGGGGGGGGCAGTAAAAACAGTCAGTTGAGCTTCGGTTTTACACAACACTCTTATCACCCACCTAAAACATACTATATAGCCAGAGGGGACTTTTCACATGCTAAAATTATTATGGCATGTCGAGTTGATAGGTGTTGCACCTACCTGTCAAACTGTCATTCAAATAGCCAGAACGCGTAAACTCAGAAGGAAGACCAGGTGAAGATGGTAGCCCTAGGCCCAGCCATTCAAAAGGCTGGAGCATGCGAACCCAGAAGTAGACCTTTTTCTTTTCTTTTTTTTTTTTTTTTTTTTTAAGAGACTTCAATACTGCTTTTACCTATTTCACTTGCACTTGTCGAAATGTTTTGTTGCATTTGGATGTTCAATTTGTCCTAAATCTATCAATAAACTCCCTTGTAAAAGAAACTTAGTAGCCCAAGTCAATGGGGTCATGCTGCAACTGCAAGCTAAACATTTTCCTCGTGGTTGGGTCACATTGGTCCTAAATGCCTGATAGTGGTTGCTTAGATGCAGTTCACGATGGATCACTTTTCAGAGCGTGTTTCAGAGGATGTGCAAGTATGAACTTAGCCCTAGGGTTTAGGTGCTGCTGCAACACAAATACTGTATATGTTGTATTTGCTCTTCTATTCCTTAACATGGTGTCAGGCCTGTAAGTGAATTGCAGCCATTTTGTTATGCTCAGTGGTTGAAAAGTTCAGTATACTGCTGCATGCCAAAACTTCAAAATATGGTCTGGTTATGAAGGTTTTAATCAATCCTGGATATAAACTGGTTACAGGTTCTCATTTTGTTAGCAAAATGTTTAATAAATCAGTAGGTGATTAAATATATAGACATCTATCCATAATTAAAACATCAGTTTTAAGTTGATTGACTTATGAGAATAGTTTATATACAATATATTTTTAACATACTTATAAAAATTCCTACAGGTTTCCAATTAAAGATCCTGAACGGCTGTTTATGTGGGTTACAGCAATCCGAAGGAAAAATTGGAAACCATCTGCATCCAGCAGAATCTGCAGTGATCATTTTACTGACAAAGATTACATGTTACGTCCAGGAGCAATGGTGCCACGTTTACGGCTCGATGCAGTGCCTTCTATTTTCAATGGATTTCCTAAGCATCTAAAAGAGCGACTAGAAAGGAAGAAGAAAAAGAAAACTGATGACCAAGTAGTTATAATTTGTAATCAAATGGAGACTCAATATGCAGATCAGGTAAATGGTTGTAAGTGATGTCAACGGCAACAGAAAGTACACTGCAAGTTTATGTTTTAATTTAAATGATATTAAATATAGCATGTTGTATCATTATGCCATCCATAGACTTTTTAGTGAAGCAGAGAGGAATGGAAAAGGTGTAGTTGGATGTAATGGAAAACATCTCTGTTAGTCTGCCTGCACAAAACTGCTGAGATGCACAAAGCAGCTGAGATGTTAGAATTGACTGTATGTCTTTGCACTTTTTTTATTATTATTGTGTATCTAACCAACTTAGATGTGATAGTTTTTTCTTATTTGGATTGTTATCTGGAATAAGAAAACAACTGCTGTAAAAGTGATTGCAGAGCTCAATCTCAGTCTTCACAGGACTGAGATTGAGCTCTGCAGTCACTTGTGCAGTGCTTTTTTTTTTTTTTTTTTTATTCCAGGTCACAATCATGCGCAATGTCTGTTCGTCTCTTTCGGTCAGTTGACCATGTCGACCGCACTTATGATTATCAGATGGCGGTTTCCCAGAAACTGTAAATGCCGTCATATACTGTACCTCGTGACATGGCAAATAAATCACCAACTTCAATCAAAAGAATATTACATAACTTCCCCTTTCAACACAAAACATCACGTCACTTTCACACCTGCAAATCATGTAGTGTTCCCATTTTTTTGTTTTGTCTAACCCCTGTATTTTAATCTGTTTACATGGAGTTGTGCTCTCAACACGTGCTGTTTGTAGTAATAGTATACTGTAATGTCTAAAGTTTTGTTGAGTGCAGTGTTATTTGGTCATTGTTTTCTTTAGTGACAGTATATAACACATCTCATAATATATTAACTTAGCTAAGGAAAAAAATGTTGTCTTTCAAGTTCCTATTATAAGAAAATTCTTTGTGGCTTTAAAACTGTGAAAATCTCTGGGTGTATCAAGCAGCACATACTGTTAGCACAACTCTCTGTCCTGGAAATGTTCCTATTTATTTAGCAAAATCAACTTTGAAAGAAAATAAAATGTATACTATTTCATATATACAGCTTAGTGTACTTTTTGCTTGAAAAGTATCATTCACAGTTTGTAACAGGCATTGCAATGCTAAGGCTGGCCATAGACGGGCCGTTTATCGGCCGATAAACGAAAATCGGTTGTTGCTGCCACCAATGCTTCCGAAAAACGGCTGTTTTTCATGGATTTTCCAGCATGACCGATAAAAAGAAACGAGAAGATCCGCGAAAAACGGCCGGCGGCATTGCCCCACTAACTGTGTGAATATCGGCCGATTTTTTTCGTTCGGACGAAAATTCAGCTGATAGCTGTCTATGGCTTCATAAGTCTTTTATACCAAACACTGGATGCCAGTGCTTCTTTGCATTTTTTTTTTTTTCTTTTGTTTTATTTTTTCGTTCCTTAATGGAACTAAAGAATATAGACTGCCATTGTCCTGAAAGGAAATGACTGCCAAAATGTAGGTTACAGCAGTATGGAGTATTGAATAACTAGTGACCTTGTTTCTAGGGGTTTAGATCAAGAAAAAAATATCAGCCTAATGAAAATGCAATGTATTGCTTTGAAATGAAGAACTGTGAGAACTAAATATAGCCAGTACTTTTTTTTTATCACACTCATTGTGGTGGGGGGCAACTAATCTGCAATCCCAGGGAACCTGCTTGTCACTTCTCCCCCACTGTATCCTGTTTATGCAATGGGTACTTCCCCTGCTCTAAATGTCCTTGTCCCATAAGGTCAATAAAGTGTTTTGTTTTTTTTGTTTTCTTTGTTTAGACCTAGTTAGTTGTGGCGTGATGTGGAATCCTAACACATAGGACCTAAAGTTAAAAATTTTGCACATGCACCTGCCAGTGGTGTTGTGGCACTGTAAATAGGTGATTTTTTTTTCCTGAAATTGAACTGGGGCTGTATTATGCTGACATTTATACACAAAAATAAATATTTAAAGTCTAACTAAAGGCAAACTTCTGTCTCTCTCGCTTTTGTTTTTTTTGGGGGGGGGGACGGAGTGGAGATTGAATTTCTTTTTTTCAGAGAGTCACCCTCTCTGTGTCCTGTTCTACCATTATAATTGAAAGTGAAAGTATTTGGGTTGACCCCAGAAAAGTAATACAGGGGAAATCATCATACAATGGGGACACTAGTTCTGGTGATCTGGGGGTCCCCTAGGGGTTCCCTTAATGTGCGGAGATTTCCTCTCAATTACTATTTTGGCTATGGGACAGGAAGTGAAGGGAAATCTCCCCGATGGGATGCAGTTGGCAAAAAATAAACTGACAGGGGTTATAAACGTCCCTTACACTATGCAAAATGAAACAAAACGTTTTGCCTATAGTTCTACTTTGATGGAAATCACATTTTATAGTAACTTTCAATCAAGCTATATATGGAAAACCTTGCATGGCATGAAATAACAGCAGAAAAAGTAAACAAAGCTGTTTTAAAGAAGAAGTAGGGCCAAAGCTCCCTTGGCTCTGACTCACAGTGCTATTTCAGACTCTGGGGAGATCCCAACTTTAATGTCAGGATCCACACAGATGCCATGAGGGCAGCAGGCTGAGCCTCTCAACATGCTGCTAAGAGTCTGAGCCGACTGCTCTCACCCAATCCACAGCTCCAGTGCTCACAGCACAATGCTCTGGTGAGTGATGGAGGGGCAGAATGCAGAGCCAGCGCAATGCACTTCTAAGACAGAGAACTGAGCGATCAGATGTCTTTGATCGCTCAGTTCTCTGTCTTAGAAGTGCATTGCGCCGATGCTGCATCCACCTAGGTGAGTTTTGTTTTTTTTTGTTTTTTTTTTGTTTTTTGTGTTCTTTCCCCCAAACCTATTTTTTAAACGTTAGAGGCCCTTTCATTGGGCCATTAATTTCAACAACAATATTTGTGTTTTATAGTATAGCATGTGCATTTAACATATTTTATGCATGTTATTTACCTGTAAAAGAGTTCCTCCTGTAGACATTCAAAAGCTGAGACTGCTGCTGGTTGCCACCATCCTGAATGTGATGTCAGCAGCCTCAACGCTGGCACTAAAGTGACATTCTATACTCTATTCTTTTTTGCTTCCCCCCTCCTGTGGCTACATAAGGTTATGTAAGGCAGAGAGCGGAGGGGCAGAGGGAATAGGACAGCTCAGAGCATTCTTCCAAAGGAGTGGCTCAGAGCATAATTAGATCCTTCCAGGAGAGTAGAGGACTATAGCATACAAATAGGAGGGGGCTGTGCTAGGGAATTGACTCTCCTGGCGTAGTCAGAATTTTTAGCACACTCAGAGACATGTTGCAAGTGAGTAAGAAATAATTAATGGAAAGCAAAAACACTGCAAGTAAGCATATAAAACTCCTGATTGTTCTGTGCTTTTACCTGCAAATTAAAGTTTGTGACAGGGTTCATTTAAGACTTGGCTTGCAACTAGTTATAGAGATCTCTCTGTATTATAGCCATTTCATCACACGGAAGAGCTGAAAAAGACAAGCAACTCCTGCGAGAATTCAGAAAGTACTACTGACAGAACTACAGAGTCCTCACTACTGGCAACAGAAATTCTGGGAACAGACATAGCTGAGAACCAAGAAATACAAGAAGCAGTTGTGACAAATTCTAAGGTATTGCTGAAAGCTTACACTCTGATGGCTGACTTCTGTGTCTATCTCCAAGTTTTGAATTTCAGACAAGTAGTTATTTAAGACATGATATTTTGTGTTGTTTCCAGTGTCTTTATTGAGACAAGCAATCTGTTATCCCAAATACCAGTGTTCTTTTGATATGTTAACAGATAACCCATCAACAACACTGCCATCTACTTAATTTGCAGACAGTTTATTCAGGTGAAGACTTCCAAGTGAGTGCTTGGAGGCAAGGCCAATATAGGAAAAGATCAGATACTCTTTTTGCATGTCAGACAAAACAGGACCAACATAGCAATTGTCAGCAAATGTCAGCCATTACAAGTTTTTAAACTATTTTTGATACAGTAATATTGCTTAAATAATATTCTCAAGATTGCTGCAATTCATACTCCCTTATCCCCAGTCTATATCTTGTTCTAGTAACAAGCCCTTTGCTTGGTTTTATCTGGCCCTTAGGGCACTATCCCCCCACTGTCAGCAACAATAGGGTATAGTTCCTGCTACTGACACCAACAATGGGGCAGTATTCCTCCCACTGACACCACTAATGGAGTACTATTCCTCCCACTCTCACCAATGACGGGGCATTATTTCACCCACTGATGCAAATGATGGGGCACTACTCCTCCAATTGACATCAAAGATAAGGCATTATTCCTCCCACTGACATCAAAGATGAGGCTGTATTTCTCCCACTGACACCATTGATGGAGAACTATTCCCCCCCACTGATACCAATGATGGGGCACTATTCCCCCCCCACTGATACCAATGATGGGGCACTATTCCCCCCACTGATACCAATGATGGGGCACTATTCCCCCCACTGATACCAATGATGGGGCACTATTCCCCCCACTGATACCAATGATGGGGCACTATTCCCCCCACTGATACCAATGATGGGGCACAATTCCCCCCACTGATACCAATGATGGGGCACAATTCCCCCCATTGATACCAATGATGGGGCACTCTTCCCCCCCACTGATACCAATGATGGGGCACACTTCCCCCCCACTGATACCAATGATGGGGCACTCTTCCCCCCCACTGATACCAATGATGGGGCACTCTTCCCCCCCACTGATACCAATGATGGGGCACTATTCCCCCCCACTGATACCAATGATGGGGCACTATTCCCCCCCACTGATACCAATGATGGGGCATTATTCCCCCCACTCATACCAATGATGGGGCACTATTCCCCCCCACTCATACCAATGGTGGGGCACTATTCCCCCCACTCATACCAATGGTGGGGCACTATTCCCCCCACTCATACCAATGGTGGGGCACTATTCCCCCCACTCATACCAATGATGGGGCACTATCCCCCCCCCCCCCCCCACACTGACGCCAATGATGGGGCACTATTCCCCACACTGATGCAAATGATGGGGCACTATTTCCCACACTGATGCAAATGATGGGACACTATTCCCCTCACTGATGCAAATGATGGGACACTATTCCCCTCACTGACACCAATGGTGGCCACTATTCCTCCCATTGATACCAATGATGGGGCACTATTCCTCCCACTGACACCAAATATGAGGCACTATTCCTCCCACTGACACCAATGATTGGGCACTATTCCTCAAATTGACACCAATCATGGGGCATTGTTTGTTCCCACTGAAGCCAGGACATTTTCTTCCCACTGGCCACAGTCCGGCCCTCTAATGTCTGAAGGACAGTACACTGGCCCTTTGTTTAGAAAGTTTGGAGACCCCTGGTCTACAGCATAACTAAAAACCAATTTTACTGTTTATTCTGCCACATTCCTGCCTATTCTGTATTAAAGAGGAACTATACTGCATCTGAGCACCACAAACCAAAAATGCTATTTAATTCCTTTTTAATATTCAAAGCAAACTCGTCCATGTTTCCATGTTTCATTTTGCTAAGAAATCACTTTGAAAAACACCCCCTTAGCATTTCTGGTCACAGCCATATTGAGTAAGTGCAGATGATTCATGTAGCATTTACTTCTTGGAATCCATCTGCCCTTCACTCAGACATGCAGGCAGGAGGGTGTGCTTAGCTGAGAAAACACCTCCTCTCCTCCTGAAGACTCCTGGGATGTGTAACACCATTCACCCAGGCCAGGAAGTAACTGAAGAAATGTGTAAAAAAAAAAAAAAAAAAAAAAAGTTTAAAACCAGTAAATATGATATACTTTCCTATCTATTTACTAATGCTAACAGCATAAGGAATCAAAATAATCAATGTTGATTAAAAGAGTGAAGTCCTGCTTTTAACATTTCTTGGTCTGACCAATGTGTGCTCTTGCTCAAGTATCACTAGTCTCACATATTTATATTACTAGCAGGACTAGGCAATGACCCACCCCTTCTTCCCAAAAATACCAACCTATGCCCCACACGTTAACCACTTCAATACGGGGCCCTTTTACCCCCTTCCTGCCCAGGCCAAGTTTCAGCGTTCAGCGCTGTCAAACTTTGAATGACAATTGCAAGGTCATGCAACACTGTACCCATCTGAACTTTTTATCATTTTTTCACACAAATAGAGCTTTTTTTTGGTGGTATATAATCACCACTGAGTTTTTTATTTTTTGCTAAATAAAACAAACACCTGAAATATTTGAAAAAAAAAATTTCTGTTATAAAATTTTGCAAATAAATAACATTTCTTCATAAATTTAGGGCAAAATGTATTCTCCTACATTTCTTTGGTGAAAATAATAATTGAATTTGTATTTTTTTCAAATGTTTCTATTAATTTTTTTTAATTACATTTTTTTTCTTTATTTTTTACTATTTTATTTTTCAGCACACTGTGACCCAAGCAATATAATGTTACCATAGTAACATTGAACTACTCTGGGCAAGTGATCAGGATTTTTTTTTTTAACACATTATGATTGCTAATACCAATGTATTTCATTGATATTTGCAATCATTGTTACTGAATGGAACTGATTCATTCAGTCTTTTGTTGTGATTGGGCAAAGCTGATCACATTATGCAGATAGGCTCTGATTGGCCCTGTCTGTATCATGTGACTGCCTTCACTAGTCACAGCTAACAACATAATTGTATACAATGGATGGCATGACAGGAAGCCATGCATTGTATACAATTGACATGTGATCTGCTGTGATCGGTCACAGCAGTCACATGACACTGGCAATGGGCTGGTGTGATATGTCATCGGCTGTGTCCTGTGGATACCGCGTGAGCGGCTCTTTTGACAGGACGTCACAATGGCGAGTATCCCACCCCGCCGTCAATCTGCTATAGGCCGGGCAGGAAGGTGTTAAGTTACATTATTACACAGCTATCATCTATTTCTCCTAACACTGTGTTCAGCCTTTTCTCCTCCACAGACTCCAGGGATAACATAATTACTCACAGTAGAAACCTCTGCACAGGGTCCCCCCCACCATACACCTTCCATGGTGCATCAGGTCACCCTGCCATCTCTGACAGACTACACTTTGAGATTACCCCTGTAACTTTCAGGAATACCTGTTTGTGCTCATATTTATAATAAATCACCCTCAGAATTGTTATCCTTGTCTCTGGCTATAAGGTCCTATGGAGGCTGGCTGGCCTAAAGCTCAAGGCCGATGAAAGACACTTTCTCCAGACTGCTGGAGAAAGGTAAAACTGTCAGCTGGCAAAGCAAATGTTGTTCTGAAAGCAGCTTTATTATATGATAGTATTCGAGTGTCTTTTTTCTGCACTGAGTTTACGCAGCAGTTAGGATGCACTTGCAGCCTAAGGGCTGTTTCACACGGAGCTGCTCCACTTTGTCTGCTGAACTGGAGCTGAACAAGACAGATGTCTTTGTTATTTACATCCATGCCCATTCATTTTGTGTCCAGCGGTGCCGTGATAGCTCTATAGGCAGCAGATGTAAACAGACTTGAGTTTGTTTACATCATGCTTCCTCCAATCTGTCATGTTTAGGTCTGGAAAAACATACAAGGACAGTTCCTTTTTTATGTTTTTTTTTTCTGGACCTGCACTCAGAGGTAGGTGGATGTAAACAGAAATAAGTCTATTTACATCAGGCTGCCCGCAGAGCTGCATTCAGCTTCCAGTCAGGTCAGTCTGAAAAACTGACAGCAAGCCTGATAGGGAAAGGGCTCTTAGATTTCTGCTGTGACAAGAGAAAATAAATCAAATTATCTATGAGAACTAAACCTCCAGTAGTACAAACATTCAAACGTTTTATATCCTGATTACAAAAAAATTGTGGCAGTCTGGTATGGTCTTTGTGCACTTTCCACAGTGGAATTGTTAAAAAAAAATGCTATTGTTCTGCTCTGTCATTTGTGTGTGCAGCGGAGAAAGTCAGTGCTGTCACCACTTGCAATGTTAACAGTTCTTTGTTGATCAGCTTCAGAAAAAGCCAGCCATTGTTCTTTTATTATTGATTTAAAGATTTTCCGTATTTGTCTGAGGACTCCTCATGATGACTTCTGTTTATTGGCCTAATTTAATATAACTATTTGCTGCAAAAAAAGATACAGCCAAGAATCTTTGGCTACAAATTTACGGTAGTTACTGAGCAGTTTACATTCATGGGGCCAGTGGGACATGCTTGTTTGTAGTTGTTTGTAGGCACAGGCTAATTGTCTCCAAGAACCTACCTATTCTATTCCAAATACAAGGTCAATAAATGTGATTTCATTATTTTTTATTTCTCTGTAAAGGAGACTTTTAAGATGAAGACCTGTGTAGTATATGGATGCAACAACACCCTTTTCAAAGGATGCAAGAAGCAGTTTTTCAGGTAGGATTCTAACATTCCAAAGTCAGGAAAAACTACCTGTTAATGTCTTCTGATTCTGGTTAATGGGAACCTGTACAGAGAGAAAAACAGGGCTGCCATTACTGATCTTCTTTTTTTTTTTCTAGGTTCAGGAATAATTTCTTCTGATTAGAAAGTTGAAGTTAAATCATGCCTACACTTAGAGTGGGCCTTTGCTCAAAAATAGTTTGCATTATTCTCTTCCTCCCTGCAGCCTGTTACACAATCACAAGTTTTTTTTCTTTTGTTTATTTTGGGGAAGCAAATGCCTTTTTTCTTCTCACATCCTCTTTTCTCACTTAGGGGAGGATGATGTAGCCTTCAGCTTGCTCGCCTCCCCTGCAGCCTCCTGGGGTACACATCACACATTCCAGGAGGCTTCAGGACGATAACCCTGCAGACTTTTGACCTCACACATTTTATTTATTTTAATTCAGGTACTTATATAGCGCCGTCAATTTACGCAGCGCTTTACACATATATATTGTACATTCACATCAGTCCCTAACCCTCAAGCGGTGTACAATCTAAGGTCCCTAACTTACATTCATACATACACATACTAGGGACAATTTAGACAGGATCCAATTAACCTACCAGCATGTCTTTGGAGTGTAAGAGGAAACCGGAGTACCCGGAGGAAACCCACGCAGGCACAGGGAGAACATGCAAACTCCAGGCAGGTGGTGCCGTGGCTGGGATTCGAACCAACCCTAGTACTGCCAGGCAAAAGTGCTAACCATTTAGCCACTGTGCTGCCCTCACAGTGGTGCTTCAGCAGGAGACCAAGATTGTAGCACAGGGAAAAAAGAAAGCTGCAAAGCTTTTAGGTGCTAGAAAGACAGCACTGGATCTCATGGGCTGGTAGGAATGTGTCTTATTCAGTACTTGTAGCTGCTAAAGCTTTTTTGGTTGCCAGGTGAAGTTCCTCTTTAAAATCTAATGTTTAGCTCTCTAATTGGGATTAAGTATTACAAGTGAATATGGTAAAGCAATTAGTCAAAATATGTACGTTTTAGCATATAATTTCCTATTGGAAATTAGCAGAGTAACAGTACCTAGGCAGCCTCTGTTCTTCTAGCTTCACAGGAACCTGTCAGGCATGTGATAGGCATACCCTACTCATTACTGCTTCCAGTTACTGGATTGCAAGTGCAGTGCCTAGGAACATGAAGAATTCTTTGGTGAAAGCTTACACATCTACTAATGTGGCCAGACCGTGTTGTATAAAGCATGACAGAGTAGACCTAGATAAAAGATCAGCTGCAGAATGCCTATTGGTAGTGTTGTAGAATTCACAACTGGCTTTTTCTAGCAAAAAAAAAAAAAAAAAATTATACTCTCCTAGGTGGATGCAGCATCTAGGCTTCTGATCGGGATCTTTTCAGAGCGTGGGCTGGCTTTGTGACATCAGCCGACAGCGGGCTTTAGCCCGCTGTTGGGTGAAAACGGGTCACAGGAGTGCAAAACTAACTGTACTCCTGAGATCCATAGGAGAAGTAAAGCCAAAAAAGCTTTGGCTATACTTCTCCTTTTAAGCCAAAATTCCTGGTTTTCCATACTTGCAGGTAAATTTTAAAACTGATGGATCCTTAAGACAGACAACTGGTCACCATATTCTCTCATTACCAGTTTCCTTAAAGTATTCAACATTGGCAGCCATTACATTCTCTCACTGCTATTTTCCATAACCTTTTTTAATGAGTGCTTGCAGAATAGCAACTGCCAGTGTGAGTAATGTGTTAATGAGTACCTGCATGTGTGCCATACAGGAGCGGACTGACAACTCATGGGGCCCCCGGGCAATAGGGGATCATGGGGCCCCTGTGTCCTTGCCCAAACTCAAAAAAACCTATGAAAAAGGTACCAGGGGCATCTCATGGGGCCCCCTACTGACCCCGAGCCCTCGGGCAGTGCCCGAGTTTCCAAATGGTCAGTCCGCCCCTGGTGCCATATATTCTGTTTACTGTTTAGTGCACATAAGTGAGATTTATCTGAAGACAGACTGAAGACTGTGATTTTTCTGAAGACTGAAAACTGAGTTCATCCTGAACACTTGCAGGATGATTCTCAATGCAAGTCTAATTTGTGCATATATTTGTGTTGCCTTATTTTCTTAGTAATGCATTTGTATCAGAGCATCTGAAATAAAAAGTAACTGAGTTGCCAAAGCAACCATTTTTTTTTTTTCTTTATCTGTTCCAATGCAGATTACAAAAAAGAATTTGAGATCTTTTTATCGGCAACACTCGTTTCCTATCAAACACTTTACACAAAGCTTAATTACAAGCAATAAAAAGAGATTTATAGTGGTATTATTAACTGTGAACTATATGCAGGTTTCCATTGAATGATCCAGAATGTCTGTCAAAGTGGATTGTAGCAGTTCAGCGTAAATATTGGAAACCATCTACATCCAGCATAATCTGTAGTGATCATTTTACTGACAAAGACTACATGTCATGTCCAGAAGCAACGGGCCCACAGCTACGACATGATGCAGTGCCTTCTATCTTCATTAAAAATCCTAAATGGGAAAATATAACCAGTGATGTAACGGAAGTTCAAAACAGAGATCAGGTAAGGTGTACAATGCTGAATGATTGCATTTTGTGATTAGGATGATACCAGATAAGTGTACATTGAAAGGAATTAGAGCAGGACCTGTTAGACCTTCAAGAAAGGGATACAGAGGAAAAAGAGCTGGAGGATGTGAGCTGTACTCCAGAAAAACAACAGAACAAGAGGAAAAGAGACAGACGGGGAAGGGAAAGAGAAAGAAGAAAAAAAAAAGGGAGAGGGGAGGGAGGAGTAAGGGGAGGACGGTGGGGGTAGGAGGTGATGAGGGATAAACCCACACACAACACTTCCTTAGTCAGGTGCTGTGGTAATTTAACTGACAATTGCGTGGTCATGCAACGCTGTACATAAGTGAAATTTATGTAATTTTTTCCCCCCTAAATAGAGCTTTCTTTTGGTTGTATTTAATCACCTCCTGTATTTTTTATTTTTTGCACTGTAAACAAAAAAAGACCAACAATTTTTGAAAAAAAATTTTTTTTATCTTTTGCTATAAAACATATCCAATAGAAAAATTAAAAAGATAATTAAAATAAATAAAATTTAAAAATGTCTTCATAAGTTTAGGCCAAAATGTATTCTGCTACATGTCTTTGGCAAAAAAAAAAATCACAATAAGTGTATACTAATTGGTTTACGTGAAAGTTATCTACAAATGGATGTTTATATACTTTTTTTTTTTTTTTTTTAATACTAGTAATGGTGACAATCAGCGACTTAGCTGGACTGCAGGACTGCGGTGGGCATTCTGACACTAACTTCTACTGGGTGGGAACCAACTAACTGCCACTGACATTTCCAGTGACACTAATACAGTGATCAGTGCTAATAAAAAGCTAATAAAAAGCACTGCTCACTGTACAGTGACATGGTGCAGGAAAGTGTTAATGTCTGGGATGATCAGAGGATTAACAGTGTACTGTTTTGTGCTTACTGTGTGCTGTTTTACTAGGGAATGTGCTGCTTTCTATCTCTCTGTTTTGCAGAGAGATAGAAAGCAGCAAGCCACTGCTGACAGGAGAGAGACCTGTGTTGTTCACACAGATCTCTCCCTTGTCAGCCTCTCTGTCGATCACCAAGTCCTGGCCATGAAACGCTGGCTGGGACCTGGTGATTGACATCTCCAGGAGTCAATGACAGCAAGCGTAGGGCGGTGTGCACGCCCTCTGCCCAGAAATGCGAAATCACGTGTTTATACGTGATTTGGCACAGTGCAGCCGCCCTGTAGCAGTATATCTGATATAGGGCGGTCCGTTGAGAGAGCTGTGCCATGGCCAAGACTCCCGGAGGCATGCGTGCAAGTGACGTCACTGCGACTTGGCCAGTCAAACATCCAAAGCCTGGGAACCCAGAAGGAAGACCAAATAAAGATGGAAGCCCCGGGGAGCCATGACAGCGCTCCGCTTGTGGGCTTTGTTTTCAGCACATATGCTCTTAACTTGCAGGAGGAAGATTTTTTTTTTTTTTTTTAATTTTATTTTTTTGCAGTTTACCAACGCTCTCCTTGCTCCTGTTTTACCTCTAAACTTTTAGAGTGCTTAGTTTACAATCTCACTGACAACAACCTTCTTGACCCCTTACAGTCTGGCTTTCACTCACTCCACTCAACTGAAACTGCCCTACTAAAACTAACTAATGATTTACTAACAGCTAAAACCAATGGCCACTACTTCATACTCATACTACTAGACCTTTCTGTGGCCTTTGATACTGTTGACCATCTGGACTCTGACCTATCCTTTCAGCTGCAAATCCAATTGCTGTCCAAATCTTGTAGACTTCACCTCCATAACCTCTCCAAAATACACCCCTTTTTAACCATTGAAATCACTTAAAGAAACTTAATCACTCCCTTGTTATCTCTCGTCTTGACTATTGTAACTCCCTCCTCATAGGCCTACCTTTTTGCAAGCTATACTCTCTTCAGTCTACAAAATTCAAAAGATTTACAACAACTTACAAAGGCATTTACACTGCCCCAAGCTACATCACCAATCTTGTCTCAAAATGTCACCCAAACCGTCCACTCCTCCTAAGACCTCCTGCTCTCTAGCTCCTTGTCTTCTCCTCCTATGCTTGTCTCCAGGACTTCTCCAGAGCCTCTCCCATCCTTTGAAACTCCCTATCCCAATCTATCTGGATATCTCCTTCTCTGTCCACTTTTAGGCAGTCCCTGAAAATTCATCTCTTCAGGAAAGACTATCCTGCCTTTTAGCTAACAACTGAATCTTTTATTTCTCTCATCAGTTCATCCCTCACAGTTATTACCATTTGTTCCACCTGCCCCTCCGTGTTAGACTGTAAGCTCCCAGGAGCAGTGCCTTCCTAACCCTCTTGTATTGAATTGTATTGTTGCTGTATTGTCTTCCTTTTATATTGTAAAGCACTGGACAAAGTGTTGGCACTATATAAATCCTGTTTAATAATAACAATAACTTCCCCTTTTGGCCTTATGCTCTCTGAGTGTTTTTGAAACTAATGTTAGGGGTGTCAGGTGTTTTCTTCTTACTGCCTCTAAACTCCCCTGCATGTTATCCTATGTGTCCATGCACACATAGCCTTTTTACAACGTTTTGTTGCAGGAGAGTTTAGTGGCAAAAAAAAAAATCCACTGCCAGGGTGCCCTGGAGCATTTTAACTAAATAAAATGCTTGATGCACTTAAACGCACCTAAACGCTAGGAGCGTTTATCACTTGAGTGTTAATTTATTTTAATAGCCAGCATAAATTAGTTATTCTGGCCAATGAAATGAATTAACACCCAAGCGCTTGACACCTGTAAATGCATCTAAACACTTGGAAAAGCGTTAGACACTTTTACACGCATCAGACGTTTTTTTCCTGCAAAAATGCTGCTGGCTTCTAGGAAAGTAAAAAAAAAAAAAAGGCCTTATGGTGAAGTTCCTCTTTAATATTGAATTATTTACTTGTTTACAGTATGTGCCAATGTTCTATATTTACTTTTATTAACACACTGAAGACCGAGAAGAGGGGAATGTACAAACTGAGAAGTCAAGTGACAGTTCAGTGGTAGAAATTACCATAGAATCAAGTGCTAAGGAGCTACTAGGGATCTGAAAGAATGAGTTGTCTTCAGGACAGATGCAGCAGGTACTGCAGGAAGCTGTAGTATTTATGCACCTAAAATGGAAGCTTGGTCTAAGTCCTCTAGTTCTAAACCCACTCCCACCCACATTCTAAGTCCTATTCCAACTAACCTGTAGACGTATAATGTGTATACTTACCTATTCCCTGGGCGCTCCTGTTTGGTCACATGATCAGCTCCCAGTGCTGACTTCAGAGTAGGAGGGAAGGTTGACAATGAATGCCCTATAGTAAGCCTATAGGTGACATCATCACCCAGGCATTGCAACAGTTTTGTCGGGAACTCTCCACTCAGCAATTTATTTATTTAAGCAAATTTATTTATTTAATATGGGTACGTATATAGTGCCAAATAATTTATGTAGTACACATATATTGTACATTCACAACAGTCCCTGCCCTCAAGCATACAATCTAAGGTCCCTAACTCACATTGATACATATATTTAGATAGGAGTCAGTTAACCTACCAGCATGTCTTTAGAGTGTGGGAGGAAAGTAGGGTACCCAGAGGGAACCTACACAGGCACAGGGAGAACATGCAAACTCTGTGCAGTTAGTGCCGTGGTTGGTATTCAAACCAATGACCCTAGTACTGTTATCCGGAAGTGCTAACTATTTAGACACTGTGCTCCTTATATGCTCCCTAGCTCCTCCTTTGCAGCTTTACCATCAACACTGGGTACAAATTGCAACATTGCCTACAACTCACTTTCTACCATGTCACATACTAGACCAATGGTCTCCAAACTGTGGCTCAGGGGCCAGATGTAGCCCTTTGCTTGCCTTGATCCAGCCCTTGGGAAACTATTCCTCCCTATGACATCAATAACAGAGTATTTTTCCTCCCACTGACACCAATGATGAGTGAGCATAAATTCTTCCTCTGACACCAAAGATGGGGTACCATTCCTGGGTCACTATGCATCCGACTGACACCAACAACAGGGCACTATTCCCCCCCACCCCACTGCACCAATGATAGAGGTACTATTCCTCTCCCTAATACCAATGATTGGGAACTATACCTCCTCCACCTAACCACAGGGTTGCTTTGTAATGTTTTTACTCCCACTGACCACCAAGTGTAAGGCATTTTCAGTTCCCACTGCCCACAATCCGGTCCCCCCTAAAGTCTGAGGGACAGTAAACTGGCCCTTTGTTTAGAAAGTTTGGAGACCGCTGTACTAGACAAAGGTTTGTAATTGATGCTTAGGGCCCAGGTTTATGATACAGAAGCTTTTGAAATGTTTTGCATAGAGTTAGAAGTGCAATGACATTGAACAACTCTTAGTAGAAAAGTGTGTTTGGTGTGTCACACTCTGTGAACAACTTCTCACTACAACAACAAATCTTTGTTTACTTAATAAACATGTTATTTAACCAATTTTTTAGCAGTTTTACTGCTACAGGGTGGCTCTCCTGTGCAAAATCATGTGTGTATATATATACATGATTTTGCACTTCCACCTCATGGCGGCGCACGTGCCACCGGCAGATCACTTCTGCTCTGAACTGTCACAGCAGAAGCCGATCTGCGAGTCCCGGTGAATGCATATTCACCAGCACCCGTAGATCGTCGGGCAGGGAGGAGGAACAGAGCTGTACCTATGTTTACATGGGTCCCTGCAAAGCTGGGAACGTGATCCATCACTTCCTCTTGTTCCAGCACCACCTAGTGTACACCAAGCACATAGCTAGGCACACTCTTAACCCTTTGATTGCCCTAGATGTTAAACCCTTCCCAACAAGTGTAATTAGCACAGTACTCAGTGTGTATGTCCCTCATCGCCTTTCAGGACAGCACCTGGAGAGAGTGTAGCTCCACCCATAATCACAGGAAATACTGCAGTGTTTAAAAAGTCTGCCTCTTCCATCATGCCCTCCGTTATGGTGTTTCCCTCTGCCTTGGTGTGATATTACTATGAGTTTGGTGTGTAGACCAGCCCAACTCCTGCCTCCGGTGGCTGAGGGGGGGTTCCAACACCTACTGTCCCTGCCCGGGTCGGTAGTGCTTTTATGGGAGCGGGTCTCCCAGTGTTCGTTCCATGGAAAGCCATGAGTTGGCTTCCTGCAGTCTGTAACAGGTCCTGGGGAATGGCGGCAGTGGTTCCAGTCGCTGGAACACAAGGGGAAGTGGTGGGTCGGCAGGTGTTGCCGGTTCTAGGTCGCCAGCTTTCAGGAGACCAGCAGGTACTTCAAAAAGGACCACAGGTCCCAACAAAGCTGCACATTCTGCAGGATGGAAGAGGGCCCGGCGGCTGCAGAACCAGGTGCATCATGCACCAGCCTAGCCCAGGTAAGGAGAGTACAGTGTTACCTTCAATCCTTACTGTAGGGCTTTTTGGAGTTTTTAGTATGGTTGTGTATTTGTGTGCCTTATCTGTTTGCCAAAGCAGCAGGCTTCCTTAGAAAGACCACAGAGGTGACTCTGCTTTGCTCCATAACTTGGTGGGATAACTCGGCGGTACGGAGGGCTGAGTCTCTCTCTCTCTCTCTCTCTCTCTCTCTCTCTCTCTCTCTCTCTCTCTCTCTCCTTTCTCACACTTACGGCTTTATGGCTGGTCTTGTGATAAGAAGGGGGGGGGGGCAGGGTCCTGCTTGTTCCTTTTTTTTTCTATTCCCTTTCTATATTTGCAGGCGAAGGGGGTCACGCTGTTTAAAAGAAAGTGTCCATTTTGTAAGAATCCCCAGAGAGATTAGTGGTCAAAACCGCTATGTAGAGCCTGTGTGGTGCACTTGGTGAAAGAGGAATCTTCACAGCAATGCAGAGACATGTTTGCTCTGGGGGAAAAAGGAGTTGTTAGAGGCTCTGGGATTGGTTCGGTCTTTGTTGGATAAACTGTTGATGCTGCAGCTGGGCTCACAATAGAGCCCCTTGTTCAGTCCTCTGTCGTCCCCCTCAGGCCAAGTGGGAATCAGCAATTCAGAAGAAGAGAGAGAAAGCATCCTTCTCTCCCTCCAGAGATTCGGATGAAGAGAAGGGTGAGGAGCAGGTTGCAAGACTGTGCAAATATAAGCGAAGAGGAGGGTGGAAGATTTGTTGAAAGCAATATACACAACGCTTGAAATTCAGGAAGAAAAAGTACAGCTGTCAGTTCACGACAAAATGTACCGAGGCATGGGACAGAGTCTATCTGGTCCATCAAGCAGTGGTGTATTTAGGTTTCATGCTGCCCTAGGCAACACAAAAATTGCCCCCCCACAGAGAGACTCTGACATAGACCGACACCCCTCCCCCACAACACCACACACGCACCCGAGAGAGCCTTCCACTATTACCGCCCCCCATACACTGGCAACTCCCCCCCCCCCCCCCCCCCCCCCCCCCCCCCCCCCCCCCCCCCCCCCCCCCCCCAGGTGAGAAAGCTGACATTCACAGCTCTGAATATCCCCGGGAACAAGTGTCAGGCTCTGCATACACCATCAAGTAGCCCGCAGTCTCTCTCAGATCCCACCTGGTCCCCATACTGCGTGTGTCCCTTCTTCCATCCCTTCTTTCAGGGGACGGTGCTGCCCCCCTGAAAAATGCCGCCCTAGGCAAATGCCTTGTTTGCCTTGTGATAAATATGCCCCTGCCATCAAGTATTATCAAATTCGATAAGGAAGGAATGGAAGAATCCAGAAAGGGGCCCTTTCTTTTCCAAATCCCTAAGGAGGAGGTTTCCCTTTGAGGAAGACGAGTCGCTGGTATGGAACAAGAAACCAAAATTGGATGCGGTTTTCTCGCAGGTTTCCAGGGACACTGATTTGGCTTTTGAGGATATGGGCATCCTGAATAATGCAATGGATAAAAGGGCATACTCCTTTCCTTCATGGTCCTTTCCGCAGGCCAAACACCTAACGACAGACGCAAATACGTGAGTTTGGGGAGCCCACTTAGGAGATTAGACGGCACAAGGCTCCTGGTCCAAAGCAGAGACCAGAAAGTCCTCAAACTGGAGAGAGTTGAAGGCCATCCAACTGGGTCTTTCTTTTCAGCAATCAGTAAGGGGGAAACACATACAGGTCCTCTCGGACAATATAAGAGCTGTGGCTTACATTTCAAGATGGGGGCTCAAGGAACAGGGGACTGCTGGAGTTGGCACTAGAGATCTTGTCTTGGGTGGAAAGGACTTAGGCCTCCTTCTCGGCCGTTCACTTACAGGGCTCGCAGAATCGGCTGGTGGATTTTCTGAGCAGAAGAAAGGTAGTAGAGTTCGAGTGGGGCTTGAATCAAGAATTCTTCCAGCTAATCACGGAAGCTTGGGGTGTTCCTCAGGTCGACCTGTTTGCAAGCCACCTAAATACAAAGTCACCAGTGTTCTTTTTCCTTCACAGGGAGGACTGGGCAGTGGGCCTGGACGCGTTAGCTGATCCCTGGAATTAAACTTTGTCCTACGCGTTCCCTCCATTTGAGCTCATTTCTCTGGTGCTTCGAAAGTTCAAGCAGGAAACAACAAATCTAATTCTGATGGCCACCTACTGGCTGAAGAGGCCTTGGTTCTCAACTCTTCTGAACCTATCCACCAGACCACCCCTGGAAGCTTCCGATCAGGAAAGATTTGTTTGTTAAGGGGCCGGTTCTGCATCCGGAGGTGGAGCGATTTAACCTAACAGCATGGTTCTTAAAGAACTAAGGAGAAAGGGCTATCGGATAAGCTTATTGCCACCTTACTCTCAAGCAGGAAAGAAGTAACTAGAGCGATATATCTGAAAGTGTGGAAGCGGTATAATTCCTGGTGTTCAGAGAAGGGTTTCCAGGTAAAGAGGGTCGTGTCAGTACTGGAATTTCTTCATGAACGAATGACCAAGGCCAAGGCCGGCTTCAGTTAAGGTTTTTCGTAAATGGGATTTGTCTTTAGTTTTACAGGGCCTCATGAAGAAACCATTTGAGCCCCTAGAGGAAGCTTCAACTTCAAATTTAGTTCTAACAACCATTTTCCCAATTGCCATTATGTCAGCTTGAAGGATAAGCGAGATCCAGGCGCTGTTGATTTCTGAACCTTTTTTAGTTATTTTTCCGGACCAGGTGGTCCTTAGAACGGATCCCGGATTTCTTCTAAAGATCTCTTTATCCTTTGATCGTACGCAGGAAATAGTATTGCCTACCTTCTGTACAGCTCCAGCCAATCTGGAGGAAGAGGTGTTCCATACACTGGACGTGAGAAGATATTTTTGGAGGTGGCGAAGGAGTTTAGAAAGTCAAACTCCTTGTTCATACTCTTTTCGGGAAGTCACAAATGGGAGAGCACCTCCAAGAGTACTCTGGGCAGGTGGCTCAGACAAGCCATCAAAGAAGCCTATAGGGCTTTAGACAAAGACCTTCTGGAAGGTGTTGCAGCACACTCTACAAGATTAGTGGCGGCCTCCTGGGCTGAAAGAGCTGGTGCATCTCTGGAACAGATTTGAAAGGCAGCTACTTGGTCTAGCTTTTCCATATTTATACGCCATTTTAGAGTGGACCTGTTGGTGGCGGCTGACCAGTCTTTCGACAGGAAGGTCCTGCAAGCCCTAGGGGTAAGTTACTTGGTTATCATCTCCAGGTGCTGTCCTGAAAGGCGATGGGGGAAAACCTTAGACTTACTGGTGACAGTATTTCTAAGATTTTTTCAGGACAGCAGCATCTAAGCCCCCATTGTGACTAATATATATGTAATTCTGTTGTTGCCATGGTGTTTGTTTCTGTTTCTGTTTTCATGTCAGGGATTACTCAGCTATAACTGAGGGCATGGTAGAAGAGGCAGACTTTTAAACGCTGCAGTATTTCCTGTGATTATGAGTGGAGTTGCACTTTCTCCAGGTGCTGTCCTAAAAGGCTCTTAGAAATTCCGTCTCCGGTAAGTCTAACTAAGCACTGATTACTGTATCACTGATAACTGTATAAGTGTCACTGGGTCCCAGAAAGTGTCAGTGTAAAAATGTCCTCCGCAATATTGCAGTCCTTGATCATTGATCGCCGCCATTACTAGTATAAAAAAAATTCCAGTGTATATCTCATAGTTTGTAGACGCTAACTTTTGTGCAAACTAATTTAAAATACACTTATTGGGATTTTTTTTACCAAAAATATGTAGCACAATAGATTTTGGCCTAAACCTTATGAAGAATTTTTTGAGTTTTGAAAACTTTTTTTATTGGATATGTTTTACAGTAGAAAATAAAAAATATTGGGTTTTTTTCTAAATTGTCAGTCTTTTTGTTGTTTATAACGCAAAAAGCAAAAACCACAGAGATGATCAAACACCACCAAAAGAAAGCTCTATTTTTGGGAAAAAAAGAACATAAATTTTAATGGGTACAGCCTTGACCGCGCAGTAAAACTAACACAGCGCCATATCGCAAAAAATGGCCTGGTTAGGACAGGGGGGTAAATCTTCTGGAGGGCAAGTGATTAATATTGATGCACTTCAACCATGTTTTTACACCTTTAGGTTAAACTTGGCCCTGCGGAGAAAAGCCTACATACAGCCTGTGTAGTATATGGCTGCAATAACCGATTTGTCAAAGGATGCAAGAAGCAATTTTTCAGGTAAACATTGTGACTCCCATATTTTTTGTCATCAGGGGGGACAGCTGGTACACTGGAAGGGGGCCCAGGTGTCACAAAGGGCCCGGACATCCCCAGGGGCCCAGCCACCAGGCAGCGCCAGGGACTGGACGAGCATGGCTGCACTGTCTCTCATTCATTAGCACTACACTAGAGTCGGCACCTGCTGTGTGTGTGTGTGGAGCTCAAGCTCATTACTGCCACCCGTGGCTGCTTACTGCACCTGCATGCATCGTATGTGCTGCCTGTGCTGGCTCCTCTGTGTCTCGGGGACCTGTCAGCTGTGTGGAAACAAGAGCTGGGACACAAGTTGGGCTGTGTGTGCAAGTGAGGGGAGGGGGCTGTTTGAGTACAGGGGGAGCAGAGCTGTGGGGGGGAATGGAAGGGGAAGTTGGGCTGACTGTACAGGTGAGAGGGGGGACTGAGTGTGTACAGTTTGGGGGGTGTGTGTTTTTACAGGTGTGAAGGGGGGTGGAGTGTGTACAGGTGTGGGGGGGGGTGGAGTGTGTACAGGTGTGAGGGGGGGACTAAGTGTGTACAGGTGTGAGGGGGGGACTGAGTGTGTACAGGTGTGAGGGGGGGACTGAGTGTGTACAGGTGTGTGTGTGAGGGGGGCTCAGTGCAGACAGATGTTTGGGGACACTGAGTGCGTGTAGGGGGGCTGAGTGCATAGAGGCGTGAGGGGGGCTGAGTGCATACAGGCGTGAGGGGGCTGCCTGCAGGACTGCTCACTGTGGACTGGTCTGGGGACAAGTTACTAGACATCACAATGGTAAATTGGTTGACAATGTTACTGGATGTGGGCCTGTGCTGTGGCTGTCTCTTTCCAGGAATGGGCTTTCTCTTGCTGAATATATAGAGATGTCTCTGCTGCATTGGGCCATCGCTTTGCTGGATTGGGATGTTTCTTTATTGGATTGGACTGTCTTTGCTATATGGGGATGTCTCTTTGCTGGATTGGGATGTCTGCTGAATATATGGTGATGTCTCTGCTGGATTGGGCTGCCTCTGCGCTATAAGTGACAGTTTCTTTGCTGGATTGGGATGTCTCTTTGCTGAACATATGAGGATGTCTTTGCTGCAATAGGATATCTCTTTGCTTTATGGGGCTGTCTCTTTGCTGAATTTGGCTGTTGCTTTGCTATATGGGACTGTTTCTTTGCTTGACTTGGATGTCTCTTTGCTGGATTGGGATGTCTCTTTGAATATATGGAGATGTCTCTGCTGGATGGGCCATCTCCTTGCTGGATTGGGATTTCTCTTTGCTGAATAAATTGGGCTCTTTGCTGGATTGGGATGTCTCTTTGTTGAATATATGGGGCTGTCTTCTGGATATATGGGAATGTCTCTGATGGGGATGTCTCTTTTCTGGATAGGGATGTCTCTTTGCTGTATGTATAGGGATGTCTCTGTTGGATTGGGTTGTCTCTTTGAATATATGAGGATGTCTCTTTGCTGGATTCGAATGTCTCTGAATAAATGGGGATTTCTTTTTGCTGGATTGGGCTCTCTCTTTGCTGGATATATTTTGTTTTAGAGTTTTTTTTCTTTTCTTAGATCTACTAGGGAGAATATATTGAGGGTCATTAAAAAGGTAGTGCAGTTAGTGTTTAGTGTAGGGTCCTGCTCAAAAGAATCTACCTTGTCATGGTGAAAGACTTTATATTTTTTGGTCAAAATACAATTCCTTACTATTAAATCTTGAAAGCACTGATGACTTGGAATACACTTTTCATTTTCATATATTAAGTTGTAAGAGTGTTAAAATAAAAGTGGGTGCACTGAAGGGATGACCAGTGGATGGATTTGGTGGGACGCCTAGTGGGCGGGCCCTGGGGAATGTTGGTGGTCAGGCCAGGGGGGCCCAGACCTAAAGCTGTGTAAGGGGCCCCAAAATTTCTGATAGCTGTGCTGTTTATATATAAAATTTGATAATTCCATAAAAAAGTGACACAAAGTAGCATTTACTTAAACACAACTGGACCTTTCGCACCTTTATACTGCTCATGTATCAGAGCAATTTTTACATTTCCACGAAGGGCCTGTTTTTTGGCTTTAACATTACTTGAGATGATAAATAATACATATATTTTTTATTTTGGGATAAACTCTGCTTTCTTTGGCAACATAGTCTTACAAAAAACGACTTTATCTCTATGTAACAAAATTAAAAAGGTGTTTTCTTTTTTCCTGTTTTTACCAGTTTAAAAAAAAAAAAAGTTGTTTTACTTGAAATAGGAAGTGTTTATTTTATTCAATATTTGTCCAGTTTAAAATGACACTAAAACAATGTTTCTGGTACAAAGCATGGCAAAGTCATTTGCTAAAGAAAACAGGAGCTTTTTAAAATTTTGCACATTTTTATGTGACACTGAAACAAATAAAAAATTAGCTGAACCAAAAAAAAACCCTTCAAATATTTAAAGTTTAAAAAAAATAGAGTAAAAAAAAAAATCAGTAGAACAAAGATAGCAGAGAGAAGAGAAGGAAGCTGATTAGGAATAACTAAGCCTTAATAAGGGGTTTAAATAGGAGTACAAATAAAAACGTTTATATGTGCTTGCAAGGTTTTTTCATTGTTGACCGAAGGGGAGGTGAACATAGGAGTTTTCAATATTGTGTCTTGTACTGTATATGTAATGTCCTCAAGTGTTACTCAATTATCGATTTAGTAACAAGTGTTACTCAATTACGATAGTTACTCAATTATCGATTTTAGTAGGACAATTGAGCTCCTAGAAATTGCTTGTTTACTGGGGCGGTACATCCATTAGGTTATTGGAGATATCAACAGGAAAATAATTAAAGTGGGAGTAAACTCCCTTGGTTGCAGTTTACCTATAGGTAAGCCTATAATAAGGCGTACCTATAGGTACGGTAAATATCTGCTAAATGTGCACCGTTTATGAGATATTTACTCTGGCAGCAGTCGGTGACGTCACTGGTGCATGTGCTCTGAAGGAACGGCATTCCCGTGCTGTTCCTTTAGAGCCCTGTGCCGTAAAAAGTGACTCCCGCACGCATGCGCGGGAGTGATGTCATCGCGGACTAGCCTTTCATAATGCCGAAGCCTGCGAACCTGTAAAGAAGACCAGGTGAAGATGGAGGCGCCTACAGCGGTGACCGCGCACCACTGGAGGGCTTCTCTATCAGGACGGTCTGTCATAATGTGGTGCATACTAGCACATTGTGACTTAAAGTGACTGGGCCCAATTTTTTATTTTGTTTTTTGCTGTGGTTTACTACCGCTTTTATTCTCTCTAAGTCTGTATTCTAATTCTATTAAAGAACTGCATCCATTAGACAGACTGTTTTTCACTTCATTGCCCCACAAAAAAATTGTATCTACTCTATGAAGAATACTGCAGTCCTTATCGTGCACAACTTTACTGGGCTATCTCACCAAGTGGGAATTGGATATCCAACTTGCAGAGGACCAGAAATGTAAGGTGATGTTTCATCATGTAGCTCTAAGACTGAAAAATCGTAATTTTAAATTATTGTCATTCTGATCCAGCGTACCATTGTGTATAGAAAATGTGGATAAGTGGGTTCATTTAGCCACACTGGTTATGCCCTGTAATTCAGACATATTGGAGCCATATATTAGAAACAATAAAGACTTGGAGGCTGTGTTGTGGAACAAAATCTGTGGACCCTTCTATTCTACTGCATGTGGGAGTCTATTGGTAGCTAGCAAAAGTCTCCAATCCCATTTTTCCCAAAGAAAGTCAAAAGTCTTACTCCTGTGCATTGGGTACAACTGTCTATGCTGACAATAAGGAAATTACTATTAGGAGTAATGTAGATCACTATTGCACTATGCACTGTTATTTCTCCTCTCCCTTTTATGTCTTCTTTTATTTTTTTTTCTTAAATGTTCAAAACCATTAGCACTTTTTCTATTGTGATTTGCATGTACTTAAAGTGTTACTACACCCAGGACCCTGCATTCACTATATCTGGTCTCCCACAGTACACAGAACATGGAAGTGCAATTATTTTAGTAATTATAAACTGTTAAATTCCTTTTCTCATCATCAGCATTTATAGCAGTCTTGTGACTTCTATCAGTGTCCAGCAGAGCACATGTTAAGGCTTGTAGGAGGAGTTTTCATTCTGCTCCAGGAAGATGCAGGACCCCCTGAACCAGAGGTCAGGGGTCCTGCATCTTCCTAGAGATGCAGTGGACAGTGCTGATTGGTCCTGTGCTGATTCCATGCACTCTCCCAAAAAAATACAAACCTCTCTAGCAATACACACCAAATTTGAGCATGTGCAGAGTGACTCCACACGATATGTCTTATCAGGAGATAATAGGGGGACACTAGTAAAAGGGGAGGATCAGAGAAGTCAGGATCAAACCGCGTTCTTACACAGTGCAGAGGATTACCCCTTAGATTCCACAGTGAGTTTAACAAGCATGCTTTACTGCATATACAGACTAATTTTACTGTTGTAGGTTTAGTAAAATTTTAACATACAAACTGTGTGATTTAATAGTTTTATGTTCTATGTCTTGTCATAATACTTGTTGTTTTGACTTTTCTTGAACTAGAAAAGTTTTAAATATTTTGGCATAGCCCTAAAAAAGATCCTAAACTTGCAGTTACCAGTTGGATTACTGCATAGAAATTTTAGTGTGCTGTAAAATTCTGATTTTTAAAAGCCCACATCCCCAGATATGGTTTGGGTATAAAAGAGAATGCTATGAAGAACAGTCAACATGCAAGTTATATGGATTGATACAAAAACAATTTGCTTGTAGTGTAGGATGGACTGCTTACGTCTATATGCTGTAGCTCTTAGGCCTCGTTTACACTAGTGGTGCTCTAACTGTACACAAATCCGGGACGCTCCCATTCAGTAGAATGGGTCATGTTCAGTGGGAGGAACTGCCCACTGAATGCAACAGTGGGGATGATTTTTGCTGCATTGCAGTAAAAAGCATTGCCTCTGCAGCATGTGTACACCGCCAGACACTGCCTTTGCAGCATAAGGGGAAGCAGTTGGGAGGCTGTTAAACCGTGGCTCAACCACTAGTGTAAACAAGGTCCTAGCTACACAAACTGTATTTTAGCTGTTACTGCTTCAAAAACGTGCATAAGGGGCATCCAAATACAAAGACTGGGTATTGAATTGAAATTCAAGGTGCTCCAGTCAGTGAAATTTTCTTCTAGCAGAAGTGTAAATCTCATGTTTATGCTATGACTCAGACAGGATTTATGCAGTCCTTGTATGTCTGCATCACAGTGCCCCCTTACATCAGATGTCCCCATCACAGTCCAACAACCACAAAAAAAAGCATCTCTGTCTCCATAACCACTACTCTCCAGGGATGTTAGTCTCAACAGCCAGGCTCCTGTGTACCTTGATACCATAAAAAAAGTGCAGTTGCATTGCTGAATCAAAGCAAAGAGCTATAATTAAGGCTATTGCGGAAACACAAAAAAGCCAGATTGCAATGCCTTTACTCCATAGAAGATAGTGTGGCCAAGAATAGCATTCCCAACATCGTCCAGCATAGAAACCAGGCCATCTGTCTTGTCACATGAAGGATTTCCAAACCTTCATATAGATCAGGAGTCTCCAAACTATGGCCCTCCAGCTGTTGAAGTACTACAAGTCCCATCATGCCTCTGGGAGTCTTGCCTGTGGCTGTCAGAGTCTTGCAAGGCCTCATGGGACTTGCAGTTCCTCAACACCTGGAGGACCATAGTTTGTAGACCCCTGATACAGATTATAATCTTGCAACATCCAGGTGATGTCCAATTTAAGAAACCAAGAGATCCACCGACAAAGATGGGAATCATTTGTTCGGGAGAACCAGACTGAAAACCAAGGTATGGGGACATCCCAAGAAATTGGGTCCTCTCAGGACATGAGGAATAGACTACTCTATTCTCCTGAAGAGATGGATGCGACACACCAGAGACTTTTGGTCTGTATATTTGGATGCCTTGCCCCAAGCTAAGGCCCTCAGAATTAGATGGGGAGGCAGAAAGGGACAGAGAGAGAGAAGTAGAAAACATTGTTAAATAGTTGTTCACTCAACACACTAGATATCACTGATTGGGAAACAGGATAAACAACAAAGTTAGTGCAATGCAGTGACACTCAGACTGGATTTTGTTTTAGGGAGGGTTTAAGTTAAATGTCCTTGCCCATTGATGACCAATAGTTAGCAATGATAGACACCTGCAAGACCCTATGCAGTCACAACTTGCAGGTATTTTAACAACACAATGTGATTCTGCCCACGATTCAAATTGTCTTTAGGTGAACGGAGGATCAGATACTTCAGGATTCTGACTGTCCTCAAATAAGTACCGCTTAAACTCTAACCATATATTTAAAAAAAAATGTTTCTTTTCACCGTTAATATTTAAAATTTGTTTTGTTTTCATTATTTGGTTTGTCTGTTTTTTTAGGGTTGCATGTTAACAAATGTGCAAATTTAAAAGAAAAAGTACATTTTATTTGTAAATATCTTTGCTACGCTTTGTACCACTGCCTATTTATATATATATATATATATATATATATATATATATATATATATATATATTTATAATTTTAATAAAAACTGGCCAGAAAAAAAAAAAAAAAAAATTTTTCTGCTTTGTTAGATCTTTCGTAGTTCATGCAAAGCAATATTGCCAAAAAGAAAGCCTTGTTTGTCACACAAAAAACTATGTTTGTATGTATTCATTATTTTAAAGTATATGTGAACCCTTACTATATATATATATATATATATATATATATATATAAAATTATAAATACTTTTTTCTTTGTTCTCAGCAAAAAAAAAAAGTACACATTTCAGCTGCTTAAGGGGCTTAGAGTGTTACGGGTGGAGAAACAGCCATACACTGATCTGCCCAGTGAATTGCAAAGCAGGGGGGCATGTCAGCACAAGTCTGATCATTGGAGGATATACAGGCTGTTCTCCCAGCACAACCAGAAAACTGACTACTCTGGGATGGATGTGCACTCATGCCTAGTGTAGTCAGTATGAAATGGCAAAGCAAGGGGAATTGGAATAAACACCAGGACTTTCACACAAAAGAAGCAATACATAGAGAACAAGCTTCCATGGCTGCTGTCTTCACCGGATGCATTGGATTGCGGCTACCAGTACCTGCCGCTTTGATTGACCAGGGAATAATGTGACCGCTATGTGATTACATGGTCACAATGTCAACAAAGCTGTTATGAATGCAATACAGCTGTGGTTCCTATAGTGATGCTGTGATTGGCCCACAGCTATCACATGGCACCTGGACCAATCACAGCACCCTGTACCATGTGATAGCTGGTTCTCTTATATGAAAATCATCTGTGTATTTAACTGTTTGTTTGAGTTCAGCTTTAAAATGTGCTTGTGTCCTTTAACATATATTAATAGTAGTAATCTACAACCAATAGACTGCAAAATTGGATTTTTTTTTGCGCTTCAAAATTTAACAAAATTCAAAAACAAACCACATTCATATTGTTTGCAGGTTTCCCTTGAAAAACCCAGAACAGCTGTGCAAGTGGATTCTAGCAGTTCGAACTACAAAATGGAAGCCATGTGTTTCAAGCAGAATCTGCAGTGACCATTTTAAGGATAAAGATTATATTTTGCAGCCTGGGATGAAAGTTCCTCAACTTCATGCAAATGCAGTGCCTTTTGTCTGTAAAGAAAAAAGTAGAAGAAACAATTTTAAGTTAGAGTTTGTGACTTCAGAGCTATTAACAGAAACACCTAGACCTGCTGATCACACATATTCAGCGTTCCATAATGCAGTAGACATCCCCTATTACAAACCTGACACAGTAAAACTTAAAAAGAAAGTGAGGACCTTACAACGTCAAGTACAGAGGCAGAGACATACAATAAAAAAACTATATGAAAGAATTGCACAGTTAAGGAAGAATAAAGACTTGTGTTCAGTTTCATCATTAGTAGTATAGTGAATTAAGAGGTATTAAAGTCCTTTTTTCTCATATATGTAATAGGGAAATTTACATACATGAATTACAATTTTGTGCCTAATTATTTCCTTGGTATGCAGAGCATCGACCTAGTTTCTTCAGACTATTTTAAGGCAGTGTTTACATCCTAATTTCACAAGTAGTATTACTGTTTTCTGTTTTGCTCAAGTTGGAGTTCCATTCTAGATCAATAAAGTGCAACCTACATTTAAAATAGCATTCAATAAACTTTATTGAGATCTGGCAGGAAATAACATTTTAGTTGCACTATTGAGAGTTAGGTCCTTTTCACACTAGCAGTCCGATCATGTCCAACTGTCCATTTTTTCAGGTGGTCTGATCGGACCCTCCATTCTCCTCTATGGAGCAAAGGATGTAAACAGACTTCTGTCCATTTATGCCCACCTGCATCCAATCCGCTAAAACCAAACGGAAGAGAATTAATTCCCCTCTGTCTGGGCAGATCGGAGGGCACTCAGGTGTAAAGAACAGCCAGTCCCGTAGAGCCACCCATAGAGCAGAGCGGGCTGTGTCCGTGTCCACTTTGCATAAACGGAGCAGACACGGATGTGCCATCCAGCCCATTCTGCTTATTGAGGGATCAGTAGACAGATCCCCGCTGAGCAAGCAAATTCAAACAGACTCTGTCCTGTGTGAATGGGACCTAAAAGCAAAAAATTATCTATTCTCCTCATGCGACTCTGTACTTTGCCCATTATGGGCAAAAGAACAGGTTTGCTTTACAGAAGAAAAATGTAGGGATACATGCTTTCCTTCCATTTGTTCCCCACCTGTCAGACCAGAGGAAATCCAGTATCTCTAATAACAGAGGTGCAATACCTGTGCAGATAATTGTGGAGCCCAAGCACTATCACTTACAGTGAAGAGGAATTTTCCTAACCCTGTTTAAGCTTCTGGAAAGTGAAACCTAAATGGCAATTCTGTGAGGAATCAAGCAACTAAATAGGGTAGTAGAGGATCCCATGCAAGGTAAGTACTATTTTTTCATCTTATTTGTTGTACATCCTACTGTGCTCTTGAGATTATCCGATTGTTTACACTGTACATACTGAGTACTATTCATCCTTGTGTACATTTTTTGCAGTCTTGTTTTACTTCTGAGCACAACACTCCCATTTGTGCAGTTAAGCTCACCCTTCACATGGACACCTATTCACATATGCACATTCAATATGCTACTGTTACTGTCAGCTGGAGCTCTGCTACATCAGCTGGGCACAATAACTAAATGACCAACTTTTGCTAAAACACTTGTAATTTTAACGCATATCTATGAATCTGTTACTGTTTCCTAAATTTTAGGAAAATAAAGGTGTGTCACTGACACACAATTGTCTCTTGTTTTGATTGTTAGGTATGGCATCCTACTTGGAGCTTTGTAAAACATCTATGTCTCTGAGACCCAGCAAATGGCCCACAGACCACATGGTCCACTGGCACTCTCTGTGGGGCCTGTGTCCTGGGCAGGGTCTGCCACGTTTTGGACACTTTGCAAAGTGGCAGCAGAATGATGGGTGCTGGGATACTCTTAAGGGTTCCTGCACTCAGCAATGAAATAAAGCCAGTACTGTCAGGCTGGATGATCTCTACCCAATAGTAGAAGCACAGTCCTGTCCTGATGTCATCAGGGAGAGTGTGCCATGGAAGTGTGTGATCTGATGCAAAAACACCTTTAAAAAAACCTTGCAAATGACCACCAATGTTGGGTGAAGGTTAACAGCTTTGGCAAGGACACTAATACGAGGGGGGGGGGGTTCACAGCACTAAGACCAATGTAAGTATGCATATTCCATTCCTGAATACTGTGGAGTGCAGACAAGCACTGTTGTAGTCACTGTACCTGTGGAATCACCGCCCTGCCTCTACACTTTGTGCAGTCAGAGAGCGCCTTGCATTCACTGATTAAATTCAAGGCATTCTGTGAATGGTGGCCATGCCCAGCAAGTGATCCACTTTGTTCACTGTGCAGTACTCTTCAGCCTACTTGCTGTATATCCTATTGTTCTCTACTTAAAGGGCAGCTGAAGACCCGAAAAGACAGCGGTGACTACCAGAGTAATTGTCTCTCTGAAATGGAGTCATCATATTTGCACTAAATAACTAAATAATAAAAACAAACTGTAAGTCTAGCCTTAGGGCTTATTTGCACTAGCAGCAGCCCTTACTGCTCCTCTAAAAAGTGATCCAAGGTGGATTGCTTTCAGAGGATGGTTGACAGACAACTGGGATGTGATAGAAGGCCTCCTCAATGCCTGTTTTAATCCTGAAAAGCCCACACCACCGCATGTATTGCATGTGGTTGCAGGGTGATGGCAACACAGCCCCATTCACTTGAATGGGTCATGTTTGGCAGCAGTACTGCCTGCTAAACGTAAAAGGGGGTGTAATTTTTGCTCCAGCCTGTTTACAGCTCCTTTTTTGGCTATATTAGGGTAAGGGGGAGGTAACACCATGACCCAATCATCTATTTTTACAATCCCCTTTTGACGTAGAGCCCTTAAGGGGGGTTAACAGCGTTGACACTGACCACCAGTGAAGGTGTGTTTGTGGGGGGTAACATCATTGCCACTATCAGTACAGGAAGGGGGTTAAAGTAAAAGGCCATATTTGAGGCCCTTTAAAATTTTCATATTGACCACCACTGATCTATGCAAACAGTGACCTGAAATTTACAAAAGCATAGGCACTCCAACACCCATATGACAGTGCTTAGGTCAGTCACTCTGGAATTCCGCATTGTATGGTGGAATGGGTGCATGTAAGCAAGTGCTTGTGGGGTGTCAATGTCTGTATTTATGCTGTTGTATTCATTGCTCTGTGTTTTTATGCAGACAGTTACAGGCCCAGGATGGGAAGGGGTTAACTGACTAGATTCTTTTCCTGGGCTTTCTAAATCCTGCCCCCTGCTGTAAGCTACCTAAATATAAGCGGAGGGCTAAAAGTTTCCTCTCTTTTCTACATGGGACTGCTGTAACGTGTGAGACTTACTGGAGCACATGGCCCCCTTCTGGGTCACCCTGCTGGGATTCTCCCTGGACTAGGAACCCATCATTACTGGACTTTTGCTGAATGGACTTTGCTTCTCTGAAAGATACAGGAACTCTGTATTTCACACAGCTACACAGTGCATAGCTCATCTGTAAGCCAGGGTACCGCCATAATATTTGACTGTATCACATGAATGCCGTCCCCGCATGGTCCCCGTCAATGGTGAGTGTGTGAATGGCAAAAGGTACCCCCACGTGCAGGGCAAGGAGGCCCCACCCACATGCAGGAAAGGAAAAGCCTAAACTCTGTACTACTTGGAATTAGAGAAGCTTTAGTGAAGCTCTGGAGGTATGGAAAAATAAAGTAAGTGCTGACATCTTTCACTGTCAGCTATTTTCTAGCCCTATTACTTCAGTTTTTTTATTAGGTCAAATGTTTTCTTTAATATTAGCTTTTTAACAAACGTATGCAGCAAGTTACATTGGGGTCAATTCACTATACCACATGCGATATGAAGGTCACGTGTCTCATTTTTAGAAATATCGTACGAGATAATATAAGAGAGTCAGTTCATCAAAGTAAAATATCGAATGTGAGGTAAATACCACACATTTGTTAAAATAGATAAATACGGCAAAAAAAATTAGAGAAATCATTAACTTCAATTTATTAAACATACACATTCCTTATTTATCACCTGGTGTTTGCTGGCGGTATTTTAGAAATGTACAAAGTGACAATTGGAGGAACTCTGCACTGGCCAGAAAGTGAAAAGTATACAATGTATCAATGTGAAAATGTTCTTCTCTGAGCTCAGGTATGAAAATAAATTGTAACATTTCATCAGAGGGAGATCATTTTGTGAATGAAAGCAAGCTAGAATGTTCTTATAGGTTCACATAATTGCTGTGTCTCTTCTGGTGCAGTGTTAGCCTGCAAAGGAAAAAGAAATGGTGAAAAAACAACACCAAATTTAAGTGCTAAATATCGCAAAACATAAATATTTAACGCATTCGGTAAATAACGCATGTTTTTTAGTGAATCGACTACTTTTGAAATAAATACTGCATGAGTTATTTTAACTAAAAAATTAATGCACTATTTATCTCTTAGTGAATTGTACCCCATTGCCATAAAGACCCTAACACAGAAGCTGTCTGCTTGTATTTATGGTATCCCACATTCTGGAAGGGGTTCTATTATTGATTTTTATGGCATTTTTAACATCATCAAAAATACAAACGGAAGTTCACCCCTACGGTTTTTAACTACTTGCCCTCCAGAGGATTTTCACCCCTTCCTGATTAGGCCATTTTTTGCATTACTGTGCTGCATTACTTTAACTGACAATTGCGCGGTCATGCAATGCTGCACCCAAGTTAAATTTACGTCCTTTTTTTCCCACCATTCGATCTTTCTTTTGGTGGCATTTGGTCGCCTGTGTGTTTTTTAATATTTTTGTGCTATAAAAAAAAAAGGCCAGCAATTTTGAGAAAAAAACTATATTTTTTACTTTTTGCTACTAATCCTGTCCAGTAAAAAAATTTAAAAAATCAAATTTCGTCATAAATTTATGCCAAAATGTATTCTCCTATATGTATTTGCTAATAAAAAATCCCAATACGTGTAAATTAATTGGTTTGTGTGAAAGTTATAGCATTTACAAATGGCGGTATATATACTGGGATCTTTTTTTTATTTTACTAGTAATGGCGGCGATCAGCAACTTATAGCAGGACTGCGGCGGACATTGTGACACTGGGGGGAACAGACTTGGTGTCACTGACACCAATACAGTGATCAGTGCTAAATAAAAGCACTGACACTGTACTAATGGCACTGGGCAGGATGGGGTTAAAATGAGGGGCGATCAAAGGGTTAACTGTGTGCTCGGAGTGTTTTACTAGGGGGCGGTGTGTGTGAGATTCACTGTAATCACACTGCTGTGGATGGCTGTGCTGTGCACACGC